GAGCAAGAGGCATGGATCCGCCTGAAAAAATCAACCAGAAGCTGATGCCATAGGCTGCTGTCTAAGACCCTATAGTCCCCCTCAAGTAGATAGAATATGGCTTTGGGTATATTATAATAAGATCCCCCATATACCCCATATTCTATCTTCTTAAGGGGGACTATACACCTGAAACCTTGAACTCTAAACCCTAAACCGCTTCCAAGGTTAGCATGTTTTGCTGAATGTGAGTGCGGGCAAAGATGTGAAACGCGCGGTCTGTTTCTTCAAGCTGTCATCATTGGCCACGCATGGTTTAGGGTTTAGGGGTTGAAGGTTCAGAGCAAGAGATCGTGCCTCAACAACAATCAATGGAGTGAGAGAAACATCAATCGCGGACAGGAAAAAGGGCCATGAAGCCCAGCAAATTGAAATGCTTCGAGCACTTGCTTTGGACATCTGCATCTTCTGGCCAACCCACTTGAACTGTAGCCCCCTTTGAACCTACAATTAAAACTACGATGTTCAAGGATTCCTTAGGGTTATACAACCCTAAACCCTAAACCCAAGAACGGTCCCAAGGGCTTTCAACTTGCAGCTGAGTATCAGGAACACGCACGGCAGTGATGTTCCCCAACTGGGCAAATGACTGGGTTGCGCTTAAGGAACTTAGGGTTTAGGGTTTAGGGTTAATCAAAGTCACTCTATTGGGTCAACTGTATCAGTTACTAGATATGTATCTTTTTGTATATGTATGCTCATTATGGTAACTCAGCCCCTAAACCCTGAACCTTATATACCCAGTATGGTAACTTAATTCAAGCTCCTTAACAGCCCCCCAGACGAAACCCTAAACCCTAAACCGAAAACCGTGGTTACTTAATTCAAGCAACCCAGACGAAGGGCATCAAGCGCATTGTCAGACTTTTCTTCTGCATTGCTGGGTTGCTGCAAAGGAACTTAAGCCAAGTTACCATAATGGGTATATGTAGTCAATAATAAGATTTACCCAATGTGGTAACTGTAACTACGCTCCTGAAATCCCTATATTAGCTCAGTTTCCATTTCATTTTCCGCTTTCTTTTCCATTTGATTCTCCATTCTAAGGATAATCTAGTAACCCTAAACCCTGTATCATACCCCAATATATAGTAACTTAAACTACGTTCCTTAACAGCGACCCAGAAGAACATCCTCATTCGTGAAGCACTCCTCCTCCTTCTCCTCCTAGACACGTATGCTGCGGGTGTACTCCTCAAGCCTCTTCCCGTACACCAATCCAGGGATGTGTTGCAGACCTAAACCCCAACCCCTAAACCCGTAAGCCGAGGTAGCCGGCATTTGACATTGGACACAGAAAGGGCTATCTAGAATCAAGGCACCATCTTTAATTCGGACGCTGGACAGGGCTGGCAGAATTTTGAAGTGACATCATCAATCTGCTAACGTATCACCACGTGGCTTCATACGTCCTATCCCCATGAGTGTTTGATCATTGTTTATCATTAGTTTTGCTTGCTGCTGCCGCTAGTGCCAGCAGCAAGAAGCCTTCAGATGAGATACTGACTCATGCATGACCACGTTCAATGAGTGCACGGAGAAAAGGGTACAACTACTGCAATGGCCACGCAGGGCAGGAATTGTGCTACAACATAACGTTCAAACCAGTCTGTCCAAAAAACAAATGACTGACCATTTCTAACTTCGTAAATTCTTTCAACCAGTGAATGCCAAAAACAGTGATGCTACGTTTCATTCTTCCAAGGTCTTGCAGCATGGGGCAGGATACTGGTTCCAGCTGTCTGCATGTCTGTTTGTTACTGTTCTTATTGGTATTACCACGTTTAGTACTATCATTATCAGAATTGCTACTATTGCTAGTACTACTACTTCAATATCATCATTGTAATACGGTTGATGGATGAAATCTTGCACCACCTAGGGGCCCTAGACTGCTGTAATTCCTAGGACTTCAGGGACTTCAGGTGGTGCAAGACTTCCTCCATCAACCTAAACCCTAAACCCTAAACCCTAAACCGTGAATTGTCGTTTGCGTTACCCTGCCTCCGCTGCATCTGCCTCGCACATGCCTAAGCATAAGCAAGATGAAGCGCGTGGGTATGTGCGCGCATGTGGGGATGAAGCGATTACTATCATTGGTTTAGGGTTTAGGGGGACCCCACGAAGGTACCACGACTTTGGCGCAAACCCACATGAACCCTTGATTTTAGCCCAGTGTGCAAACAAGAGGCATTGCAGTCACGTTTTGCTGGCAGGTTGACGAACTTTTGCTTCATAAGCTAGGGATAACTACTCCCAACAGCAGGTCATTGCAAAAAGGACCTCATGCGATTCATCCGGCTTAGCTTTGGGGTATTGATGTTACCAAAGAAATTGGAAGATACCTTAATCATGGAGACTCAGTTGTCCAAGAATAAGGAACACCAAAATGGAAACTGTTATCATATCATTGTTTATATGTTTCGGGCCTTCAAAGAACTGAGGAGTCCCATTTTAGGGATCTGTGCACAAGAATTGTCTGTAGATACTGTGCCCTTCTGCAGCTTCTAGCACTTGCAACACCCCAGATGGTTTCAATATTCAATTCAGCGTGGTCACTGCATGCAAAGACAACACTTCAGCGGGTAGTGGTGGTGCTGCACAAATGGATCTAATCGATACTCGAGAATTAGACATTTGGATGAGCAGCTATGCGGAAGACGTATGCTGCCGAGACGTTCCGTCGGCACCATGGGGTCCATTGCCGCTTTGCCCTAAACCCTAAACCCTAAATCCTAAACCCTAAACCTTGAACCCTAAACCCTAAATCCTAAACCTTAGACCTTGAACCCTTTTTAAAGCCTAAACCTTTTGCAGCAGGCAGGGCCTGAGGATCTGCCTTTTTTGGTAGTCAGCCCGGGTGCCGGGGGTGTGGGCGAAGCTGTCTCGATCCACATCACTTTGTCAGCTTACTTGATGCTTTATGCAACTTGAGCCAGGTCTTACACCTGAGGTCATGACAAGCACTTGTGGTGTCCTGCAACTCATGGAGTAGGGGTTTGGGTTTAGGGTCGTGGAGCATTGAGAAACGGCAGCTTCCCTTTAGGGTTCAGGGTTTAGGGTTTAGGGTGGGGGGACCCAATCAAGGGGCCAAAATGCTGTTGTCTTGGATATTGTTCACACCCAGTAACAGTTGGATAATATTTTGTCTTACAATCATATTCATACAACCGTATTATAGATTATCCCTAGTATAGACTGCTACTGAGTGGGGGCGATACCCAACAATTATTCTTCCTATGGAAATCCGCAATCGGGGGTCCTAATTTTGGGAAGCCCTAAACCCTAATCCCTAAACCCCAATCCATATATAACCCTATATATGCATATATATATATATATACACACACACCCCTTTTAAAGGTACTCGGAAAAGCCCTAACAGGGCACAGTTTTTCAAGGCCGCGCCGGTACAGGCGCATGCCAGGCAGCCATAACCCTAAACCCTGACCCCTAAACCCTGAACCCTGACCCCTAAACCCTGAGCCCTAAACCCTGAACCCTAAACCCTGAAACCTAAACCCTGAAACCTAAAACCCCTTAACCCTTACAGGGTGGATGTCAAATCTGCAAATTGCGGCCTGCCTCCAGTCCGCGAGCAGCCCTTCCTGAAGCGTCAAGCTTAACTATATGGAGCAGATTCATATGGGGGTATATAGGGGTTATATATGGGTATATAAGGGTGGAGGAAGGCATCTACGAGTATATAAGGATAATGGGGAAATGGAAAGTACTATTTAGGGCTTAGGTGTTTATTCAGACGCCACATGTCCAATAAAATGACGGTCTCAGCGCTTCAAGAACAACCCAAAACCCAATACACTATAGTAGTTTCCATTTTCTCTTTCATTATAAAAACATCCCCAATATAACCCTAATATATACCACCCATTTTCTTTTCCATTATCCCTATATTACCCCAACATAACCCTATTTTATTCCCCAATATATACCCTAGCTTCAAACCCTAAACCCTAAACCCCTAAACCTTGTGATTCTGAGAGTGTCGCTGCCGAGGCCGCATGGCCAGGCAAGAACCATGGCCCAGGACGAGACATGAATGGGTTCAAGGTTTAGGGTTTAGGGTTTAGGGTTTGGGGAGCTAAGCTGTTGTGCAGTTAAGGTTTAGGGTCACCGCCGAATGCATGTAGGTTCCTAAGAGAAGCTACATCTAATACATATATATATATATATTCCCCTAGTCCCTACAAACCCTAAACCCTAGGCCCTAAACCCTAAACCCTAATCCCTAAACCCTTTGTCATGAATCAATGGACCCAGCCAGCTTCTGCCTTTCCGTTGCCAGGTGCTGCAATCTCGTCAGCAAGCCATTGGGGTTTAGGGTTTAGGGTGTAGGGTTTGGGATTTAGGGTTTGGGGTGTAGGGTTTGGGGTTTAAGGTCTAGGTTTTAGGGTTTAGGGTTTGCGGTTTGGGTTGTATTGGGATAATGGAAAATAAAATGGAAACTACTATACTGTTGGGTTATGTCGGGGTTATGTAGGGATAATGGAAAAGAAAATGGAAACTACACAGGGATTATATAGGGGTTATATAGGGATTACAGGGTGTATATTAGGATTATATAGGGATAATGGAAAAGACAATGGAAACTACAGGGATTAGTTATATAGGGATTATAGGGTATGTATAGGGATTATATAAGGATAATGGAAAAGAAAATGGAAACTACTATATAGTATATTGGAGTTATATTGGGGTAATGGAAAAGAAAATGGAAACTACCATAGTCTATTGGGGATTTGGGTTTCGGAGAAACTTTGTCACTACGACGCGGCAAAAGACAACTTCTGCCTGCAAACGCCTCACCAGCCCCAGCAGTTCGCAATAGTTTGCAAATATTCCGCTTCTAACACTTCTGCATGCCTAGTGCAGCTGATGACCTACGCCGGCAGATGTCTCTTAGACTACATACCCTGAGCCTTGTTTGTCTCCGTTGCAGATCAAACATCTGGATACGACCACGAGAAGTTTCCGAACTTCGCTCGGAAACGCTCATTATGGCAATAGTTCATCTGGCAGTAAGTCACGTCGCATTGGAAATTGCCCATGGCACACGCAGTCATTGCCTTACTCAGTCAGCCACATGACAGGCTTGGAGATGACATCCACGCATTACAGAATGAAATTCAGCTTATAGGGGTTATAGGGTATGTATAGGGATTGTATAAGGATAATGGAAAAGAAAATGGAAACTACTATATAGTATATTGGGGTTATATTGGGGTAATGGAAAAGAAAATGGAAACTACTATAGTCTCTCAAACTTGATTCAAGTCCAAGATGCTGAAATCCCTGCCTCATGGCGAGCAAGTTTAACTAAGGAGCTCCATCCGGTGAAGTTCCATTCCTGTGCCCATGCTGTCTCTCAGCCAAGACGGTTGAGATAGTCTTGTCTGGAGCATGTGTGCAAATCAGCAAGTGATCCTATGGCAGAACAAGCGACCCTCAAAACGTTGCATAACGTGTATCGGCATTTGCACCTTCGGGATGTGGTGCTTCGTCGCAACTTCCAGCGCACGTGCCAAGACGGCCATGTAGTCCTTCCAACCAATCTGTGTCCACCTGACAAGCAGGTGATTGATCTGTGGACTAGCTCCAGCGAACTTGTCCGGCCTCTTTCCGTACAGCTTGTTGCAGATGCCTTCGGCTTGCTGCATAGAGGTCTTTTCCTGGGTTGCTGTTAAGGAACTTAAATTACGTTACTATATTGGGGAAACCCTATCATTTACTATATATACCCATTACTTAATTTAAGTTCCTTAACAGCAACCCAGTTTCAGTGACCTCCGTGTTGTTGCAGTGGCCGGAGACAAAGCAGTAGAGCGCATCCGCCCCTCAAGACGTGGCCCGCCATGCGTCCGTGCACAAGGGATTCACTGTATGGCAAGCAGCACAAGCAGCTAATGGTGAGTCAATCCTACTGCCACAAAACAGCTCAGAACACCAACATCCATCGCCAATTGCCTGCATTTGTCAGCATGAAGCTGGGATTCTGGCCATTAAGCTTGAGCTTTTGCTGGGACTGGAACATCCTTGCCAGACCATGTTCACGCAGCTACAGTGACTTATGATATTAGACAAGGAGGCCGCGCAAGGGAAGCCCCAATCAGCACAGCAAGTATGGCATGAACACAGGAATACGGCTTCCTGCTTCATAGATACACAACTTATCAGCCAACAAGCACCTCTACCACATGACAGATCAACAAAGAGTCTAGCAGCTCTTTGCCAAGGATGCATCAAAAGTTATCCATTCTGCGTGTCCAATTTCGGAGAATTGTCATGAAACGTCACTATGCACTAAGTTGCATACAGTGACCTTCGTGCTCGTGTATCCCGCGCTGACCGCGGAGGTGCCTTTCCCCTTCTAGACTTGGTATGCTGCCCAAGTTGCCTTATGACATGCATGCCGTCACGCAGGTGACAAGGCCACATAGAGATTATATGGGGTATAAAGGAGCTACATAGGGGTAATATACTGGGTTGCTGTTAAAGGACTGATTTGAAGTTTTTGTTTGGGGAAACCCTCTTTCTTACTACAGATACCCATTGTGGCAACTTGGTTTAAGTTCCTGACAGCAACCCTGTATAGGGATAATGGAATAGAAAATGGAAACTACTTTTTGGGGAGAGGCCAGGCCTGTGTCGTTTCGAATCAAGTCAACCATTAAGGGGATATAGGGATTGTATTGGGAAGTATAGGGTTTAGGGCTTAGGGATCAAGCACTTCAAAGTGGAACATGGTTGAGATAGTCGTCGCACCATAAGAACTAGACTATAATCCTTATCATGTGGACCCCAAACCACCCTGTGGGCTGCTGTTAGAAAACTTAAAGTTAAGCTACTATAGTAAGGAAAGCCCATTATTTACGATATATCCATATTATGGCAACTTAATTTTCGTTCCTGCATTCGCAGAAACCCAGATTAAGCAGGCTAAGGGCCCATTCCTAAATCCTTAAATCCTAAGTCCCTACTCCCTAGATCCCTAAAGCCTACATCCCTAAACCCTAAATCCCTTAACCTTGAATCCCTAAACCCCTGAATCCTAAGCAAACCCAGTAATGTTGACAGCCACCAAACGGCAGGCCAGGTAACTCCCTGCCATATCCACGAGAATCGCCCTGAACAATGCACCTTGGACGGGTTAGGGTTAGGAATTAGGGTTTAGGGCTTACGGTTTGGGATTTAGGGTTCAGGGTTTGGGGTTTAGGGATGTAGGGCTTGGGGCTTAAGGTTTAAAGTTTGAGGTTTAGGGACTTAGGGCTTAGGGTTTAGCGGTTTAGGGCTTAGGGCTGGGATTTAGGGTTGAGGGTTCAAGGTTTAGGGGGATATAGGACCTGATAATGGAGAATCAGAAAAAGGAAAAAAACATGGAATTTGCACGGAAACAGCGGACCTATAAGGCACCTTGGATATGTGGGACTTGCGCTAAATACTGTTCCCCAAAATGGAGAAATTTGTTGAACAATTGATTCGGGACTTGTATCATACTTGGAATTCCCCTATTATACTGAATGTGGGGTAATCCCCATATGTACTGTTTGGGTTGGGCTGCACGAAAGCTTGGGATAGCGGCAAGCCCATGGCAAACTTTCCCAAATAGCTTAAGCACTTGCATGCTTGCGCTAACCCTACTGGTGGTGAGTAGGGAATAAGGGAATATATTCACAATATGACCCCTGTGGAGTATGTTCCCTTATTCCCTACTAACTAACCCAAACCTTAAACCCTAAATCTTAAACCCTTAACCCAAACCATCAGTGTCTCAAAGGTCTGAGACCTAGGACAACACATCTTCCAACCTAAACTTTAAAGAAAGGACTCATAAATCCCCAACTAGGGGTACTAGGAGGGCCTTGGCATATACATTTGGCACTTCTCCACTGAGCTGAGCTTTCTCTAAGGGCCCAAGTACCAAACCGTCTTACTAGGATTTCCCTGCGCTCCTGGAGAATCAAATGGAAATAACTCAAAACCTCTACTATAATGCATAGCACTCGAATCCCAATTGTTCTGTACCCAGGTTGAGGAAAAACAGAGTTGATGCCTCGGTGAGCTGCAAACCATGCGTTTTCTCACACGATACAACGGTCCCCTCTCAAACTTTTCAGAAAGCCAAACTGGAGCTCGACAAACTGGAGCTTTCTCCAAAAGGGTGTCTCTAACGACCCTAGGGATATATAGGGGTTATAATTATAAGGGGATCAGGGGTCCTTATTAAAGGGTTTTTATAGGGATTTGTTAAAGAAACTCCCATATGCGGAGAACATGAGCTATCGTCTTGATTATGTGCCATGCCCGAATGATTGCTCATTCAAAGCAAACTGGCAAGATTCCACGGCTACCAGTAACTGTCAGCTGCGTTCCTTGACTATCTTTGGGGTCATTCCCCCTTACAGTAACTGTTACCACAATGGGTTATAGGAGTTATAAGAACCCCCTTAATAAGGCCCCTTTAAGTTACTGGGAGGGGGAATGACCCAAACTATCTTACAGAGGCTACAGCAGCTGGCCTCTGCCAGACTCGTCAGCCACAAAGACTCCATCAGTCAAGATTTGCTTTTTGTGTAAATGGTAGTTTCCATAAAAAGGGGTGTTCAATATAGACCCCAAAATGCAGCAATCCTTTTTTTGACCACCAAAATGGTACCCCCATTTTGGGAAACCCTAAACCCTGTATCCCCCTATATAGCCCCCTTTTAACAGGTACCCCTCATTTTGGGAACCCTCCAAAATTCCAAACCCTGAACCTAAACCCTACACCCAAAACCCTAAAACTCCGCTGTAGCACTTTTCCATCGACGTTGAGTACATGGGATAGGCACGACACCAGCTTCTGAGGTTGGCCTCGAACGGCTTCGGTTAGGGTTTAGGGGTTTAGGGTTTTAGGGCTTATGGTTTAGGGTTTAGGGGTTTAGGGTTTAGGGAGGCTGAAGGTGGACTTAAGGGGTTGCTAAGGAGGCTTAAAGAGGGATAATGCGAAACATGGAAACTTACATATAGTACATTGGGGTTATAATGGAAAAGAACATGGAAATGGAAACTACTATAATAGGGTTAAGGGCTTAGGTTTCAACTCAAGCTGAGGCAGATTGGACTTGCGCTTAACTCATGCACGAACCCATTGCAAGGGACAAGCACAAAGAACTTGTTGTTGATAATGGTTGCAGGCGGTGCTTCAACAACCGCTGCTATCATGGATAAACGCAAGCTTCCAGAAACAGGGAGATCCCAATATGGACCCCTAAATACCAAGGTCCTTATTGGCATGGGTACCTCCAGATGCGTACCCCTGATTCTTGGCAAGCCCTAATCCCAGTTTCCATTTGATGTTCCAGTTTCCTTGCCATTTGATTCTCCATTATTGGACCCTACAGTATCTCTTTTTGTATCCTAAACCCTAAACCCCCAACCCCAAACCCTAAACTCCAAACCCCAACTCTAAACCCCAAACCCTAAGACCCCCAACGCTAAACCCTAAACTCTAAATCCCCCAAACCTAAACCCCAAACCCCCCAACCCTAAACCCCAAACCCAGTCCAAGCCTGACCCGCGGTGGTTGCTATTCGCGTATCCATGGTCTCTTTTTCCTCTGGCGTCAGATGGTCCTGCCAGCCCCCAAAGTAGGGTTTAGGCAGGGCTTAGGGAGGATGAAACACCAGGAGATAACCCCTGTAAAGCCCTATACATCCCCTGAATAATCCATCATAATAGTTTCCATCATCTTTTCCATTGTCCCTATAGAGCCCCTAGATAGTAGTTTCCATTATCCCTATATGTACCCAGGATGTTCTACAGTGACGCCAAGTGCAAAGGTCCTTGGAGCAATTGAGCTTCTTTGTGCAAAACATCGGGAACTTCTTGCAGTCAACTACGCTCCTCACGCGTCACAAGGCCGTTGCACTTTGCATTTGAGATGGACTGAGCTTTCCAGAGAAACAGAGACAAAGCTTGCGATCCTTAAAGACCCTAAACCCTAAACCCCACACCCACTGTTGTTTGAGGTCACTCTTCCACTCAGCAGGGCAAGCTGCCAAGATGTGGACCGGTGTGGCGAGACTTTCAGTGTTAAGGGGCATTTGCCTTCTAGCTCTGCATTCTGATGAATTTAGCCTTCGAGTGCTGAATCAAGCACAGGTTAGCAATACTGCCTGCAGACCTTGTTTTGCATAATATAGACTCACCACACCATTTGAGGAGCGGTTTTTGGTTGGTCGAACCAACAAAGATCTTATTCTGTACAAAAAACACGGAGGATATAACCTTGTTCTATGTTGAATACCATAGTACCCCCCCACCCCCCCAGAAAAAAGCTAGTTTGGTGATGGGTGTGGTCAAGGTGAACATGAACTTGAAGGTGAAGGCAAAGGTAAGGTGAAGGGGAATGGGAAGGTGAAGCGGAAGCTGAAGGGGAAGGTGATGGTGGCGGTGAGCTCGGTGGTGAGGGTATGGTTGCGATGGCGCAGGTGGTGGTGCAGGCGGCAGCGCAGGTGGCGTGGCGGCGGTGGCGGCAGCCGGGGCACTGGAGATGGCAGCTGGGAGCAATCAGTGGCAGTGTCAGTTGTCCTTGTCATTGCTGTATTCCTTGCAGGTAATCGGTAGTGGTGCGCACTGCTGGTGGCAGCAGTGGCAGTGGTTGTCGTTGTTGTTGTTGTTGTTGCTGCTGCTGCTGCTGCTGCTGCTGCTGCTGTTGCTGGTGCTGCTGGTGCTGGTGCTGGCTGCTGCTGGTGCTGGTGCTGTTGCTGTTGCTCCTGTTGCTGTTGCTGTTGCTGCTGCTGCTGCTACCACTGCTACTGCTGCTGTTGCTGTTGCTCCTGTTGCTAGTGCTATTGCCGTTGCTGCTGCTGCTGCTGCTGCTGCTGCTGTTGTTGCTGCTGATGATGATGATGATGATGATGATGCTGCTGTTGATGTTGGTGCTGTCGTTCGTGTCGTCGTTGTCGTTGTTGGTGGTGGCGATTATTAGCTTATAGTAGTCAGCAGGAATCAGTGTAAGTCAGCAGAAAGAAGTAGTAGCAGTGGTGGTGGTAATAGGAGGAGGAGTAGCAGCTGCAGCATCGCCCGTAATAGTAGCAGAAGCAGTACGAGTAGTTGTCGTGGTGGTGCTGCTGGTGGTATTACTAGTCGCACAAGCAGCAGCAAAGTAGCAACTGCTACCAATAGCATGACACGAATCAGCAGCACCACCAGCACCAGCAGCAGCAGCAGCAGCACCACCACCACCACCACACCAGCAGCAGCAGCACCACCACCACCAGCACCGGCACCGGCACCAGCAGCACCGGCACCAGCAGCACCAGCACCAGCACCGGCACCAGCACCAGCACCACCGGCACCAGCAGCACCAGCAGCAGCAGCAGCAGCACCAGCACCAGCGCCAGCACCAGCAGCAGCCATGGTTCTTCAAGAAGCGGTGGAAAAAAACTCGTTCTACACTGGCGAACTTGCAACAGAACTTCTGCCTTGCAGACTGCCGGATACGCTGAAGCTGCTTATTCGCCCAGGGACTGGTAAACACACGGTGTTGATCTTGACCCGAACTGGTCATTGAGGGTACAAACATCTTTGAGACCAGCCTGATACAAACAAGATAAAGACTTGCACAAGGATGCTTAGCCACCTGCATCTGTCTAAACACGCCTTTGGCTCGAAGATAATGAAGTACTCGCGATACGACGGACGGGCTGGCTCGTTATCATCTACTACGTCTGTGTAGAGCGGTCCATAATAACATCCACGAGGAAGAGGAAATCCTCAGTCCACGAAGCTTCTCCGCATTAGCAATGCAAACGATCAGCGTGCCTGGCCCCACAATCCCAAAACGGCAAAAGCCAAAGCATGAGCCTGTGAGAACCTCATCCCAAGGCAATTAAATCAAAAACTTGAAACTTGCCGCCAGCCTGAATCATCGTTTGTCCACATCTCAGTGAAGAGCTGGCCACAAATTGCTTGAGTTGCATTCCTGGCCGAGGATTGCAGTCACTACTAGTCACTAGTAGGTAGCCATACCGCCAATCTCACTGGCAGCGAACGCCGAACCCGCACACTTGCATTCTGAAACAGAAGTGATCCGCAGAGACTGCTGCACAGCTTTGAGGTATACAAGGCAAGTGACAGTCGGCACAAAAGCTAACTTGCGGAGCTTCTGCTTGTTCATAGCTATGTGTGCATGCAGGTCTCTCCATGGCCACTTGAAGTTCGTCAGGCATGGCTTGTAGGTCATCCGGCTGTTCAAGCGCTCCAGCAAGAAGAGGTTCCAGCATAAAGTCTACCTCCTTAAAAAGAAGTCTTACCTTGGCGGGCAGTGCTTGCAGAGCAGTTTGTACAAGATCATGTATAAATCCTCTCCCCGTCAAGTGGCGACCAAAGGAGTGTGGAAAGCCTTGTAGAACGTGGTTCCAGTGGAAGGAGAGAAGGACAGCACGGCCTGGCCTATGCCTCCCTGCAGTCTCGTTGTAAGGTATACACCGGCATCCGCCATGAAGGTGGGACTAGAAAATTGCAGGACACCTGCTTCTCCATAATACTGCTGGCGACCCTCGTCAAATGCGCCCCAACATATCTTGACGGTTGCCGAGAAGTCAACTTTTATCTCTTCCTGCGCAGCAAGGCAGCAAGGATGCCGTTGGGCAAGCTCTTTCGCATGCACTCTTTTACAGACAGAGCTGGGCTAAAGTCAACATGTGGCGCGTGCACTTGAAGACTCTTTCCATTCTCGTCAAGTTCATGATGGGCCTCACAAATACTGACTAGAGGATTTAACAAAAGATCAACAAACAATCCGGGTCTCAAAAAAAGTAAGGATCAAGAATGGTGGCTGGCTTTAATGGTAGAAAACTGAAGATTTGGGCGCCTAGATACTAGTAACGGCAGGATAAAAAGGGAGCACAAGATCGAAAGAACACAAAAGAGGGAAGTTACAAACATGATTAAAACTGACGAAAGATTATGCAACATCAAGGAGTACAATGAAATTTCATCTAAATGATGAAAAAATCACGAAAAGTATAAGAAAGTGCGAAAAATGTTGGAAATGACAAAAACATACAAAAATTGCGCAAATGATGCAGAAACCTAAAATCATGATGAAAATGATGAAAAGTGACACAATGTTGAACATTGCGAAATGCAATGAAAAAAGAAATAAAATTTAGAAAAGTGATGTAAAATAGAAGTAATAAAACATCAAACATGGATGGAAAATGACGAGTCACTGCGAAAATTAACAAATATCAACTCATGAAAACCACTGAAAATTGAAAAAATGATGGAAATGTATAAACGTGATGATCAATGATTCATGATGACAAAAACTATGAAATATCATGAAAACCATGATAAATGCCAGCTGCAAAGTGATAAACATGACTGACACTTGTGAGAAATGATGATATGTGACAAAAAAGGAAAATTCGAATTAAAACTGAAAATGATCAAGGTTGATTAGGAAGGATGAAACATCATGCAAACTGGTTCCAAACAAATCATGAACATGACGACATACCATGGAAAGTCATGATTGCCGAAACATGTTGAAAAATGCTGATACGGTATAAAATGATGAAAATTATCCAAATTATGAACACATGGTAAACCAGTAAAGTAATGAAGGGATCGGATACCCTCACATGTCCTGGTGTTTTCTTGAGATGCTTGCGTGCATTTGTTTTTTAAAAACAGCAAAGAGGGGGGGAGGGGGGGTTGTTCAGGTGCTCCCCCCGATTTGCGAAAGCTGCAGGAAGATCAGAACAGGTGCTGTCTTCCTACGATTCTGACCTGGCAATGATAAGAGGCAATACCTACAGGAACATGTTTCCTCTCTTTTTTCCTTCTTCTTTCCCTCTGCTCCTTCTTCTTTCTTTCTGACATCCTTGTGTGCTTCTTGTTCTTTTCTTCCGTCTTGCTTGCTTCCTCTCTTCCTTCATGTCTTTCTTGCGTTGTTATGTCCTTACTCTTTCTTTCTGTCTTCTTTAAAGGGTAATGCCAACACTTGCAGCCATAAAACTGGTGGAAGGACAGGATAACCTTACATGTCACCGTTTTTGAGATGCTTAGAATTTCAGGTTTAGCAGGAACTACCCATGCTGCAACTTGCAGTAGCTTAAGTTTTCCAAGGACATGTTGCAGAATTTCCAGCATTCAGAAGCTGCAAGTGCTGCGCTTTCTACCATACAGGCATTTTCTTTTGTTGATCCTTATTTCCAGCGTCCAGGAGCTGCGAGCGTGCAGCTTTTATAGTATGAGCCAACTATTGTGTTTGATCCTATTTGATTTTTGGTTGATCCTCATTTTATTTGTGTGATTCCTATTGTATTTTCTGTTACCCCTCTCCCGCAACTATTTGACTTGTGTACAAGGCAATCCTTTGTTTGGAGACGGTTGCGTCGAGCCCAACGCCCTCTGCCCTGCACGAAACTGAACTGAGGGGCGTCGCCATCGCTCCAGCCAACAGGGATGGATAACCTCAGAGATGAAGAAATCAAAGCATGCCCAAGCTTCCTACCACCAAGGCTTGGTACTTTAGTCGTTGCTTGGCGGTGGTATCTGTCAGTATGAGCCTATATGAGCCTCATCTGACAAATGCAGATGACAGGGGATGGTTCCAGCAAGGTAGCTTGTTGCTTTCGCCTGAGACATAAGATACGCGATTCCACAGCATCCGCTTCACGCTGGGCTCATCAGCATATCCGTAAAAGCCAGACAGCTTTGACACAACGTGTTGCTCGGCGATGTTCCACAAGGTGTAATTCTTGTTGTTCAGAATGATGGAAGACTCATCTATAGTGATCGCATCACCGTCCAGGAGTTCAGCAGTGATATCGCCACTGAAGGTCAGAATGGATTGAGACTCTCCAACAGAGATATCAGTGATGTAAATTCCGGTTCGGTCTGCTGAGATAACGTAGACAGGAATATCCTCCTTCACGTCAGGCTTGCGGCAACTTGAGCTGTTCCGCCCAGGACATCCAAGCCGATAGACATCAACCCCGCGAGGATCGTTGGCGTTTTCTCTGCAGGTTTGCGTCATGCTGATGAGGCGGATAGAGTCTGTGTCTGAAAAGCCCCATCCTTCCAAATCAATTCGTACAACAAAGTTCGAAGGCAGGTCCAGCCGAATGTCGGTCATGGGACCACGGAACATCAGGCGCGCTGCATTTATGTAGAAAGCTGGACTTTGGCACAAGTCTTCGGGATCCAGCATTGCACAGTAGCAAACAAGAAAAACGCCAGACCTCCATGCATTGAAGCTCTGGTCATTCTCGACACCGCTGAATGGCAAGTAGTTCGAGGGGCCTGGTTCGACCCAGGCAAGATACTCCCTTGCCAGATCTGCTGAGCCTTGACTCAACTTACTCACTGGCTCGAGTTTGTGGGCATGTAGAAATGCATGAAGCTAGCGCGAGCTACCTACTATTCAACTGGAAAAGCAACTAGGCCCATTGTAGTACTCGGCATTGAAGGTGCCATTGACGCATGCAGTGTTCAAAGCCATGCGACTCTCCTCACAGTCATACAAACAAACGGTCAGAAGCTCTAACAACATGCATCTGCTGATTTGAGCAACCGCATCTACTTGCGGCATCTTGCTGCATTGCAGCTACAAGATGCGTGCCAATGTTGGCCGTTTCACGTCCTCGGAGTCGGCCCGGTCCAAATTGAGATGCTGCTCAAGTGTGACCTGCAATCAGTCAATAGACTCTGTCTCAGCAACTTATCCAACAGTCTTGTGATGCTGGCAACTCCAGCCTGGGCTCCGCCCGCACCCGCATAGGCTGCCCAGTTGTCAAACGGGACAAGCTTCAAGGTTGTTTTCTTCCGCCATGGTATGCTGTCATACGGATGCATTCCGTCCGAGAAGTCTGACTGGATGCCCCCGTAAAGAGTCAGGGCCCCTGGCTTCGTCACCTGAAAGGTCTGAAAAGCGAGAAAAACATAACACGATTCGCCTCCACCGTCCTCCGCCAAATTCTAGCTGTCTGCCATCCAGTCGCATACTGAACTGTTTCAATCTCCTGGATCAGGCCTGTGGGAGCAACAGGAAGGCGGACATCTGCTGCGGAAAGGCATAACAGGAAGTATAACTAGAATGTTTACCAGAACAGAACAGTCCGGCTGCCCTGTTCTGGCACACACAGAAAAAACTCACTGCAACATGACATGCGTACCTCCCTGATTCGGAGGTTTGGTCCAGCGTGCAACACCTGCTGACTCTGCCGCACGGATTTCACCCACCTGTCAGCTACAGTACAATCTGTCTCTTCACAGCTCCTTGCATCCTTGAATCGCATCCGCGACTAAACCAACTGGACTAACAGCTTCCACATCTATCACTGCATCACGTGACGTTCCGAAGTCGCAAGCCTTGAAAAAATTGAAGGAGTTTGCGCAATTGTCATCGCAGTAGCAAACTTCTACCTTGCTTGCCATTGGCATCAAGCCCATCATTGCGGGATTTGCCCAGAACTTGTAGTCACGGCGATCGCCTGCAAGGGCTTTCAAAATCTCAGCGCCACCACGAATTGAAAAAGAGGCCTCTAGCTTCGGATCACCTTAAATATCCGGCCCAGAACCCAGCATTAAGCTCTATGGTTCAAGTTCGACATCGCTTCCATGTTCCCAACACGCACTCAGGGAGCAGCCTCCACGGAGATAAGCATCGCCAGCTAAAAGCAAGCCAAATTCATCGTACTCCAGCGGCGGGAACCAGCCAATATCGGACGTCCTCGGTTACACTTTTCATCAGCCTGCGCAGTTCAGTGTCGTTTAGCTAGAGCAGTAGACGTAACGGGGGATGACGGGCATGGCAAGGCTTACTCAAGAAGCATCCTTCAGGCTAAAAGACTTTTTCGGCTAAGCTTCATGCTTTGTTCGATTTTGCATCGCGACTGCGGCTCCCAAATTGCCCGTTCTGGCACCTCAATCCGAACAATCCCATCTGGACCTTCAAGGCTTGCAAAAGGCTGGGGAAATGGATCTAAATAGGCTAACCAAAAAACATTATACTCTGCGTCAAACTATTGTTGCGCACTGAGTGTGGTGTGCACTCTGTGTGGAACCTCACTCCAAACCGTCTTCAGCAGCTGTTTGGAAGAGAAGCTGTGATCAACCAAGCTCCTAAGCCATGCCTGGAGGCGGAGTGCCGGGCAGGAGCTTGATGCGATTGTCATTCGCAGGCGAGCAGGACGTGCCTCCCGGAGGGCATTCGACGCGCAAGACAAAGGGCTGCTGTGGAAGCACACGCATGAAGGGGGGCTCGCTGGTGGAACCGCAAGATGTGTAGGTGTCCACATCGCAAATGCGAATCATCCAATAATAGATGACACCAATTGGCTGAATGAACTCGCCGGCGTTATCGCAGGCATCCGTCGTGGGGTCAGGGCCATCATAGTTCGGACAATAACAGGCAGTGATGGTGAAGCTTTTTGTGGCAAACTCGGACTTCAACCCCGGCAGCGTTGCTGCTGTCGACGCATCTGCGTTCAAACCAGAGCCAAAAGGCGGTGCCCAAGAGAAGGCTTGAAAGAGCTGAGTTTCCGGAACAATGCTCTGCCCAGTTATCACGTTTGAGCACTCTTGGCGTGCTGCAGGAACGAAGTCACCTGCAACGAAAGCATCATCACCCCAACTTTGAGACCAGGAGATGCGGCTCACTCCACCAAGCTGGACGGACCAGCCCTCTCGCCCTCCGCCAAATAATCGAAAGTCGATTCGGCATGAGGAAATGTCCTCGCCTCCATAGAAAAGGTAACAATCCCAGCGTTCCCTGGCTAGGCAGCCATCTGTGAGACACTGAGATGACACGCCGATCACTGTAATTTGGACCGGAACAATGTTGTTCTTCCACTCGTCACCATCAAATGTACCATCAGGGGAATAGCATAGCTCATAAGATCCACCATGCATAAACGTCAGGTGTGGCCACTGCAACTCGCGCACCAAAGCCTTGGACATTTATGTTTGCGAGGGAAATCAGACAGCTGGTTGGGATCGCATTGTTCTGAAAATAGGACAATCCGACAATGGAAACACGCTGACACGACCCGCGCCACCAATCCCCGCAAGCGTGCTTCCAGCCCACTTTGGCGCTTTGGTGCGTTAACTAACGTACACAAAATGCGCCTGCTATGCCTGCTCTAGTTTCCAAGCGAGCAGCGACCATGCACAATTTAAAACAGGCCCAGCCATGCTTAAGTTGAGTTGACATGCGAAGTCCAGCAGGAGGTGTAAGGCACTCTTAACGAAATTGCCTGTGGACACAGACTGTCAGTGTGAATCTCTTGAGATTCCAGTACCTTGGTGAGCCTACGCGTAACGCGAAATGCACCGAGACACGTTGGTGCCTCCAGTTGGTACCCTCAGTACCGCTCCAGAAGCCAAAGGCGATGGCCCGAGAGTTGATGCCACAGAGCTATTCTGGGTAAAAGCCATGGGGACGTTGTAATCTGCTCTTTCGCAAGATTCGCGTGTAGCGTCAGAGTAGACCAGCTTAACAATTGCTTCCTGCGAGCAGGGGGTCAACTGCTATGAATAATGCTTACACTAACACGGAACTTACTGGCATGCCGGCATGATTCTGAGAGAATCCTTTTTTTTGAGGCAAAGCTCCTGGTGATCAATACCGAACTCATAGTCAGAAGGAACCTCGACGTGCACTGAGCTGTATTTGTAGCCAGCCAGAATGGATATGCCAACCTGAACACATGGAGCAGTTCGAGTAGCGAAACGCTTCCTAAAACGGAGGGGTTTGGTCACCAGTCCGAGGCACAGAAGATAAGGCGCCGCTTCCAAAGGCCTGCGCGCAGCTGATGAGATAAGACCCTCCCCCCCTGGACCCACCCCACCCCGCCCCCGTGAGATGTAACCTGTGCGT